TACATATAGGTCCACCAAAATAGGAGGGAAGATAGTACCTCGAAATTAGGAGTCATATTTTGAGGAGGTCCATTATTTATTATTAATGCCGATCACAGAAACATGTCTTGTTGGTGGATGCCCACAATATAGACGTAAAACGGAAGATTGATCCACATTATGTAATTTGCGAATGTACTCTGTACATTCGCAATTTAATTCTTAGCACTGGCCACGAAAAATGCCTCGAATATCTTTATTACAAAACGCATCCATAATGTATGTAACAGATATGAAACACGTCGTGTCTTTAGCCGACGCGATTACGTAAGTATGGCACGACGAAGGAAAATAATAACAAAAGCTATCTCGTTGGTATGGAGACAGGCATTTGGAGGTACAATTGTACCTCGTATTACTTCAGGAGGTAGGTACGGGAACCATTTGTACCTCCTAAAAAATGTACTGCGAATTTATAGATACCTCGAGCAGTAACCTGGAGACGGTATCCTCCAACTGATCGTCATATATTCATTATTACCTCGTATATCATGTACCTCGTGCTAATGTACCGTGAAAAATATTGTCCCTCCTATTTTGGTGGGCTCATAATTATGTATACATTTTATTTTAACGTGTACCTCGAATTTGGCGGTACTACGCGTTACACGATTTACAGTGTAGTAGAATGTATGATAAAATTTCAAAGAAACTCACATAAAATTCTTCAAAATGCTGTCCCACGATTACATGATTTTCAGGATAAATTTTGAGAGAAAATTCTCTCCGTGTGGACATTGAAATTAAACGTGGTACAATGATCGCGATAATTGTATAATAGTAAAATTGGACGTGTTGATTTGCCTTGAAGTGTAAATTTAGTTTTCTGCAATACGCATGTTCTCCATATCTCTCATAACAACCCGAGTGCAATTTCTTACGCCACGATACTCCCGAGATTGGCGTTCTCCCGCGACGTGACGCGCGATGCAACGCAGAGCGCGATAACTGGGCCGGAAAGAGGATGAACCGTGAACTCGATAAATAAACATTAAACTTGACGGTAAACCAGGCCGCGCCGCCGCCGGCATTCGTAGTAATAATTCCATCCTTTTCGCGTGAAAAGACACGTAAGAAACGCGTAATGGCATGGCGTAGTGTCGCGTAGCATCACGATGCCGAAGCGGGCGACGTGGGCGAGTCCTCCTCGAGGGGATCGGAACAGGATTGTGTTCTGCTGGATGGAATTGTAGGATC